CTTCCTTAAGCCTTTAGTAAGTTTTGCTTGGTTTTTTTTCTTAATTTGATGTTGTTGATCATTTAGAAAAAGTGAAAGGCGCTGCACCAGCTGTTTGGTGGTGTTAGTGTCTGACAACTGTGCTGCCAACAGTCCTCTCGTCCCCACAACCGACAGAGGTTAACCTACTTCTCACTGGTAGCTGCAGCAGATGCTCCGCAGCAGTTAGTGTGAGGTTTCCTTGCCACCTGTTTTCGGTGAGCGACTGCTGTCGTGACACTGCAGCTGTTGAGAGGACACTCACTGTAGGCATCTGTTGCAAGAGTAATACAGCAATGTGGCGAGGAGGGGGGTGTGTGTGACACCTATTTGACAAAGATTTAAATTGATTTATTCGGTTGTCTGAAAAACTGGGATAGGGTATGTAGTGGGGTTTCAGTCAGCTGAAGTGCAAGTGATGTGCAAGAAGCTTATTAAAAAAAAAAAAAGGCAAGCTAAGAGAAAGTGTGTGGGTAGGGACTTCAAGAGAACAGGTCTCATTACCTCGATAGTATCACTAGCATGTTACATTTCTGACAATATTATCAGAAAGATGTCCTTAAAACACTACCACTTTTTCATACTTTTCTGAAAGTACCAACGTGACTATGTTTAAAACTTGTTTTCCTTGCCAGTGTATTTATACTGCAGAAGCAAACACTTTTTGTCCTGGAAATATGCTAAGGTGTGCCTCACTGTGGGAGACTCTGGGGAGAGGAAAAACAAAAACCAAAACAACAACAACAAAAAAAACCCCAACCAAGCGAAAACAAAAAACACCACACCAACCTTATTGGAGATGTTGAAATTGCAGAAAGGACACAAAATTAGAAATAATCCTTATGAAGTGCTATGAAAGGAATTGAGTGTTGTGGTTCATAGAAACTTTTATAGCTGGACTTAGGGCAATAATTAAATTCCAAGGGCTTTAAGATTGATAGTGCCTCTAAATTGTAAGTATTTCCAGCTTTCTTCGTAACAAGACGCATGGAGGATGAAACCTAGATTAACTTTGAATTGATCCTGAATAAATCCGACTTTCTTTATAGGAAAGCAAACCATGGGGTTTCCAGTTTATAACTACAAGGACCGCTCGGATAACAAGCTGTACCACCTTCACACTCCCCAGAGCCCTCTGGTGCGGCCCAGCATGTATGACTATTACAGTATGGACAGCTATCCGGTCGGCACCAATTCAATTGTGGCTGTCATCTCCTACAGCGGCTATGACATGGAAGATGCAATGGTAAGCCACCAAAAGGAGAAATCCTGCTGTCCTGTAAAGGAATTTCCTGTGGAGGACTGGGAAGAAGGGTGGTACCTAGCTGAGAAGAGCCTGTTTTCCGCTTCAGCTTGACCTAACAGAAGCAGTTAAGTGGTGTTACCACAGGTAATGCTGAAGGTGCTGAGAGTAGAGCAGAGCTCCCTTGTGCAAGGCAGCGGGCTTCCAGCATTGAAAAATACTGGAGTTGCAGGAGGTTTGGGCTTTTGAAACAGTGACTTGCTTTGAGGCTTTGTTTAGGAAGGCAATATTAAAAAGGTAAGTATCAGATTGGAATGGAAATGCTTTCTGTGTTGAAGTTATTAGCAAGTTTTTAACAGGCCTTTGTTTCTTCCTTTTAGATTGTGAACAAATCTTCCTGGCAGAGAGGGTTTGCCTATGGAAGCGTTATCAAGATGGAGAGTATTGACCTTTCCCTTAAAGCCAGCAGGGCAGGCGATAATTTAGTATTTGGCGTCAGGCCTGGCGATCCAAACGTTATGGAGAAGCTGGATGCCGACGGTCTGCCTTTTGTTGGCTCTGTCCTACAGCCTGGGGACCCCTTCTACAGCTTCATGAACCTCAACACAGGGGAGACCTTCACTGTGTACTACCCGTAAGTACAGCTTGTTCCTCCTGGCTCCACACACCTGGTGGAGAGCAGTCTGAGAGCCCTTGGCCCTGATGAGCTGTAGTGTCTTTTCCTCCAGGTCTTCCCTTTTCTCCTCATGTGATAGTGTCCATGTCATGACAGAGGGAGCGTGAAGTTCGTGTTGTAGGTGACTCCCATGTATGTGTCACGGATTTTCTCTAAGCCAGTGTATGCTGCAGAGCCCGACATGTCCCCGGAGGAGAATCTGAGGCCAGTAAAAAGAAAGAGCTTGCAGAAATGTAATGCTGTCCCCCAGGGACTGTTCCTCTGCCCGTCCCTGACAGTCATTTTCTGTAGCTTTTTGTTAATTGACTTGCATAAGGCATTCTGTCTAAAAAAAAACCCAAAGAAACACCAAACAAAACCAAAGTGCCTGGTCCCAGAGACTTGCCAGAAAACCTTGTAAGCAAAGTTGTTACAGGATTAGGGGTTCAAAGAGCATTTTTGTGAACATTGCAGCTTCCAAACTGCTAGAATATCAGAATGTGTCAACTACACCTCTCCCTCCCCCTGGAATATTTCAGTAATAAGTTTTTTAAGATATTTGAACTTCAGTTGAAAGAGAGAAGGCGGCTGAGGCTTTCATTAAAATCCTCTTAATTTTTTGAGGAAAGGGAAGCAAAAACTCATACGTTTAAATGCATTCTGCACTCCCAGTTGTCCGTACAAATTCAGGTCTTACCTCTGTCTCTCTACAGCATTGATAGAGTGAGGATAATGCTTTGTCATTATTCACGTTGTGAAAGCAAATTAGTTTGAGGAGCACTTGTATAACACAGTAACTGGCATTACTGGGAAAGCTATTGTTTATTACTCTATAGCAGACGGTGTCTTAGCTGCACTATGGGGACTGTTGTGGACTTGTAGAATTAGTCATCCTGGTTGTAAGAGATTTGGCACATGGTAGTAGGGATCTGTAAGCTCAGCACTTGTGGACCCCTCTTTGGCTGTCCCACCCCACGCTCCTGCTCCCCAGCTCTCTTATGCCAGGCCAGCCCTAGTTCAGGTTCCTCATCCAGAGAACCTTTTACTTCTCTGCCATTCACCTTTTGTTCACTCTTGGTCCAAATCAGATAATTATTTAGGTTCTTAGAAAGATGAGGTTCTCGCCTCTCAGTGTTGGCTCCTGCCCCCAATTTGCCCCAGAGACCCGGAGCCCTTAAGAGGGAGTTCTGCTACTGCCCTAAGTGCAACTAGATCTCAGGTGTGGCTTGGAAAACAGGGAGGACAAAGGCTTTGACTTCAAAAGTTTGAACAAGCTTGGAAAAGGGTTATGGAGCAGTTTTGGTTGGTTGGGGTGTTCTTGGTGGAGTTTTTTTGTTTGGTTTGTGTGATTGCCTATACCCTGGTTGCTTTTAGACACAGCAAAATAATAGCTTTGAAACAGAAGCTAAACTTAGGTGCAGGCCTTCTGCCAATACTTAGTCAGAGGACTTCAAAGGAGAAGAAGTAACCTTGTCTTAACACGGGACAAGATGTATTTATTCCATAGCTGTTCTCTCCCAAACAAGTGGAGAGTCGGGGCTGAAAGCTGTGTAAAAAGAGTTAAGCTGCAGCAGGCACCGAGCACGTGGAACGTCAGGCTGAGGGTTCACCTGGAGAAGCAGCACGCACACCCCTGAACAAGGCGCCTGTTGGCAAAGCCCTTTCAGCTCAGCTCACACTGCGCTTTCCCTTTCTGCTCTGAACTTCCCTCTCTGCTTTGCACTGAACCCCGTTCTTTATTTTGGTATCCCACCAAGATGGTGTGAATTTATTGGGGGGGTAGGGTGAGGGGCTGCTGCCTTAACACAAAACAAATAGCACTGTGATGCAGTTTGTCTGATAAAGTGCAATACAGATGACCCAGTTTTAAATTACCTTTATTTTAAATCATGGGTGTCACATTACCTGACCTGAAAGTCGTAGCTGTGCTTCTAGTATTAGAAAAAGCAAATGAATGGCACTCGTGCAATGCCATTTTATTGCTTCCTTGCCTTAATTCTTACACAGTCTGATTTCCCTCGCTACTGAATAGTAGTTTTCAAGAACGGTGTTGTTCCCCAGCTGTCCCAAGGCATTTTATGAGACTTTTGAAGTGGTTTTGTTTTTTCCTTCGTTTCCTTTTCCTAGCTAAAAATCATTAGCGCGCTTGACATCTTTGCTGTGATTGTTTTTCTACCTATGCAGGAATAAGGAAGTGGGCATTGTAGACAACGTCAGGTTATGCAGTAACGACCGTGGCACTGGGAAATTCAAGAAGGCTTGCATCACTGTCAGGGTTCCCCGAAATCCAACCATCGGAGACAAATTTGCCAGCCGTCACGGACAGAAAGGCATCCTGAGCCAGCTCTGGCCAGTTGAGGATATGCCATTCACAGAGAACGGGATGGTTCCAGACATCCTTTTCAACCCTCACGGCTTTCCCTCCCGTATGACCATCGGGATGTTAATCGAGAGCATGGCGGGGAAGTCGGCAGCGCTGCACGGCGTCTCCTACGACGCCACTCCTTTCACCTTCACAGAGAAGAACTCCGCTTTGAAATACTTTGGCGAGACTTTAGTGAGCGCAGGTTATAACTTCTTCGGGACGGAAAAGATGTACAGTGGCATCAGCGGCCTGGAGCTGGAGGCGGAGATCTTTGTGGGAGTGGTGTACTATCAGCGTCTGCGCCACATGGTCTCAGACAAGTTCCAGGTGAGAACAACGGGGCCCCGAGACTCTGTCACCAACCAGCCTGTCAAGGGGAGGAACGTGGAAGGTGGGATTCGCTTCGGTGAAATGGAGCGTGATGCTTTGCTGGCTCACGGCACGTCTTTCTTGCTGCAAGACCGCCTCTTCAACTGCTCTGATGGCTCCATCGCCTATGTCTGCACGAGCTGTGGCAGCATGACATCTCCTGTGCTGGAGAAACCACCGCACTCCTCCTCTGTGACCAGCAACAGGAGGTACTCCTGCTCTGTCTGCAGCGAGGTGGACACGATTGAGGTTGTCCCTGTGCCCCACGTCTTCCGTTACTTTGTGGCAGAGCTGGCAGCCATGAACATAAAAACAAAGCTCAACGTGGAGTAGTAGCTCTGTCCTCCGCCATGGCCACGCTGCTGCTGGGAGAGAGGAAGCACGTGTCAGTCCTGCCTTTGCCCCCTGCGGGTTTCAAACGTTAGGTCAGTTCTCAGGTTCTTCAAACGTTTGCAAGATTATTTTGATGTTTGTATTGAGGCGGGGCAGCCGCCAAGCTGTATGGTGAGGAGCTGCGGCTCTGTTGAGGTTCGTTTGCACTTCCTAAAGGATCACTAACTATTGAGATGTGGCGTATGGAAATCAGGCAATATCACTGCTCCCGCCGGGCTGCTGGGTTGAGAGCGGTGCGGGTCCTTCGTTCTCCGAGCACTGGCTGCAGCTGCGAAGATGAAGAGGTCATAAACAGCATGAAGCGAATGCTGGAAATGACAAGAGAAAAAAAAAAAAAAAAAGGAGAGATTTATTTTGTTTTTTGAAGAAAAATCCTTGCAAAACGTATGCCTTAATGATGGGTACGTGCTAAAGTGATTGGACATGTTCTGTTTTGCTTTATTTCAATACGTATGCCTTGAAACTCATGAAGAAAAAGAAGAAAGCACAAAGTTCTACTGCACGAAGCCACAGCCTTGACCGTGAGAGACCACCAAGGTGGCCGAGCCAGGCCTGTCCTGGGAGTGTTTGGTGTCGCCCAGCCCACCACCTCTCTTGGGGGGGGGAACTGTTTGGGGTTTTTTTTGTGTGTTTCATCTCTGCCCAAAGCAGGAGCAGCATCAAGCAGAAGGTATTCCAGCTGGGCCCTGGCCCCGAGCCCTCCTGCGGTGCTGTAACGCATGGGTTGTGTTAAATCCAGCAGAATATTAAATGCATAGAGAAGCTGC